GCGGCGGCTCCGGGCTCGCTCTGCTGCTGCTGCCGCTGCTGGCGTTACCGCTGGCGGCCGGGGCTGACTGCCCGTGCCCGGAGCCCGCGCTCTGCCGCCCGATCCGCCACCGCCCCGACTTCGAGGTCAGCGCCTCTCTCTGCTCCTCCTGGTCTGGTCCTCAAGGCCCCAAGGGAAGTTAAAGTAGAAGCGAGCCCTAAAGAAGAGGTGGTGTGGGTGCCGACACCAACTTTGGCCTCTCGCTGAAGGCCTTCCTGTTTAGGATTTCCTTCAACCTCCAGATGAGGAAATTCGGGCTCAGAGAGGTTGAGCAACTCCCGCCAGGTCTCACAGACTGGGCGCCTGGCTCCGCAGGCAAAAGTACTCAAACCCAGATCTGGCTCTTTGGCAAGCTCCTTTTATTACCCTGCTCTGCCTCTCCGGCGGCACTCAGGGGCACTCTGGGTGTGAAAGGCAGGGAAGGTAGGATAATCCATTTCTTGGTTTCCAAGAGGATTTAATTGGAAAGAATCTCATTAACCCAACAGTACATTGGAAGGCAGAATGTTTTCATACCTTTGCTTGTCTATGCATATTAGCCCTTTCCATTACAGCACCACCCTAGAAGGGTGGCAAAAATGGTCTTTCCGTAAATTTTCCTTCTACCCACCTAACAATTATAAGGCTTCTGGCAACTGTAATCAAACACCCTTTCGGAAGCAATATGAAAAACACTTGACTTCCCAGAGTTTGATGACTGTGGCAGGAATTGGTTGATGTCAGAGAGATAGGAATGCTTAGTGCAAACAATTATTTTGTAAATAGGAATGATTCCTAGTTCTTAATCTAGTACATTAATTTGGAGACATTTAAATGTCAACGAACAGTTAAGTCAAATTAAAACAGTTAAATACGTTGCTTAGGAGAAGAAATAAAAGTGGTGAAAGTGTTTATAGTGTGGAAACCTAACATCTTGCTAAAAGAAAAGCTTTAGACAAATTAAACTTAACAATGCTTATATGAGCAAGAACAATTCATGAGTCCACAGCACTCAAACCAGAAGAGCTTCAGAGAGGTACGCTTTAATAGCCTGAGCAATGGGCTTTTATACACTGAAGGCAGAAGCAAAGTAAAGAAATTACTTGGGTGGCTATGACTAGGTGTTTCCCCTATGTGGTTATGATCTGGTGGAAAGTCCCTAGTTAGTTTAGTTTCTGATTGGGTAAGCTTAAGTTTTGTTTTCCTGTTTACACTGGAATGCAGTTTGCTTAAGTAGGAATCCAAGGCATTGGAGCTATTTCAGCCTAACAAACTCCCAATTAAATTTTTAACAATCTGAAATATTTGTTGTAGCACACAACATTTCTTGGTGGATTGGGCAGTATTTGTGGGCATTCTGAAAACCTATTATACAAAAAAGCAAAATTATACTCATTTGTATGTTTATGGTAAATGGTCTTTTTCTCTACTGGCCTTTCTCTATATTTTTCAAACACCAAGACTAGATTACATAGCTTTTTTCCCTTATATTTTCAATTGGTTCATCCAGTTATTTTTTTTTAAAAGAATTTCTATTATATCACAGGATCTCAGTATTTTTTTTAAAAATAAATTCAATCTTTATTATCAAAATTAAAATAAAGGATAAGGTTTGATTAAACACAAGTCTAAAGACAATGGGCCATTCAATTTCACATTCTGTAATTTTTATTATTTCTGTGGGCAACTGCTTAGCAGAAAAATGAGTTATGCATAGTCAATTCTGGAAAAAGAAAGAGAGATTGAGAAAATGAAGAAATGTCTGATTTAACTTTCATAGCTAGTGCTCCTCACTGCTCCTCCCCCATCATTTCTCCTCAAATCTTATGCCCACCCCTACTTAAAACTCTAATGGCTTCTCACTGATCCCAGGATAAAATACAAAATCCTCAGTGGTCTACAAAGTTCTACTTGATCTTGCCACCTACCTTACTAGTTTTATTAGATTCCACATAATTTCAGGATTTCTATGCTCTAGCCACATTACCTAAAGAACTGAAAGACAATTCCAGAATCTCCTGAGGTGTAGGGACCTTTTGGCTTTTTGTTCCCTCAGCTGAGAATGCTCTTTTGTCCATAGGCACCCCTCCTCTGCCGTTCCGCAGATTTGAGTCCTCCCCTAAAGTATGTAGTCCTCAGGGAAGTTTTCCTGCCCCACCTGGCTAGCAGGTCCCCTTTATATGCTGTCATGGGGCTGGCTAATTATCTCAGTTGGTTAGAGCATGGTGCTGATACCACCAATGTCTAGAGTTCAATCCCTGTACTGGCCAGCTGCCCTCCCCTCCCCACAAAATAAAAGATTGATTCTTATATGCTATCATGGCCCCCTGCATTCTCTTATAGCCCTTAATAGTATTGTAATTAAATTCACTCCCTAATGGACCTGGCATCTCTTGGTAACTTCTATGTCTCTAGTGCCTAGCAAAATACCCTCCCTACATCTTATTGGAATTCAATAAATATTAGCTGAATCAATGAATTAATACCTTGGAATAAAATTAAAATGATCAGTGAGACTTCTGTACTTCTAGAATTATCTGTGTGGGAAAAATACTGGAGAAACATAACATCAGCTGCCTTGGAATTTGACTTGAGTACTATTCTAAGAGGTCAGCTGCACCAGAAAACATACATAGTAAATGAATCATCTATGCCTTACTCTGCAGTAGTCAGAAACTTGAGTATTATCAAACTCCTCTCTTTCTCTTGCCTTACTCAACCAATTAGTCACAAGGTCCTGCTAATTTTGCCTCCTTAGGATCTCCCAGATGTGTTCACTTATCTCTCCACAATTCTAGTTGAGGTCACCATCATCTCTTGCCTGGATTCCTCCATCAGCATTCCTATTCTGCCTCCAGTTTTGGCCTCTCTCTAATCCATTTCCCACTTCAGCTAAAAAGTTTTTCTAAAACACATACCTTCTCATTTTTTTTTAATTTAATTTTATTTTGTCAATACCCAATGTGGTTGATTATTGTGGCCCATTACCAAAACCTCCCTCCCTCCTCCCTTTCCCCCCTCCCTCCCAACAATGTCCTTTGTTTGCTTGTTGTATCAACTTCAAGGAATTGTAATTGTGTCTTCTTCCCTCCCCCCCACCCCCGCCAGGTTGTTTGTGTATTCATTTATTTCTTTTTAGTTCCCACAAATAAGTGAGAACATGTGATATTTCTCTTTCTGTGCCTGACTTGTTTCACTACTGATCAATGGAATAGAATAGAGAATCCAGAAATCAACCCACACACCTACAGCCATCTGATCTTTGACAGAGGCACCAAGCCTATACACTGGGGAAGTGACTGCCTCTTCATCAAATAGTGCTGGGAGAACTGGATACCTATGCAGGAGAATGAAACCCCATACCTTTCACCATATACTAAAGTCAACTCAAAATGGATTAAAGACTTAAATATACACCCAGAAACAATAAAATTTCTTTAAGAAAATATAGGAGAAACACTTCAGGAAGTAGGACTGGACACAGACTTCATGAATATGACCCCAAAAGCATGGGCAATGAAAGAAAAAATAAACAAATGGGATTATATCAAACTAAAAAGCTTCTGCACAGCAAAAGAAACAATTAACAGAATTAAAAGACCACCAATAGAGTGGGAGAAAATATTTGCAAAATATTCATCTGACAAAGGATTAATATCCAGAATATACAAGGAACTGAAACAACTTTACAAGAAAAACCCAAGTAACCCAATTAAAAAATGGGCAAAAGAGCTAAATAGGCATTTCTCAAAGGAAGGTAAACGAATGGCCAACAGACACATGAAGAAATGCTCAACATCACTCAGCATTCGGGAAATGCAGATCAAAGCCACACTGAGGTACCATCTCACCCCAGTTAGGATGGCTAATATCCAAAAGACTGTGAATGATAAATGCTGGCGAGGTTGCAGAGAAAAAGGAACTCTCATACTTGTTGGTGGGACTGCAGAATGGTGCAGCCTCTGTGGAAAATGGTATGGAGGTTCCTTATACAATCCTGTTTTAAAATGTCACCTGATGATATACTCTCACATATTTCCACTCAGCCAGTGATCGGGCACTCGATGGCTGCAGATCTCCTGTGCATTTCATAAAGTTCACCGGATTGGCAGCTTGTGAGCTGCTCTCTCTCTCCCTAAATAAAGCCTTTCACAGCATTCATGGGCATCCATTAAATCTTCAAGGCACATCTTAAATGGGATTGTAACATTTTCAAAACTGGTAAAACAGTTTCAGAGGCTAGGAAGTCTAAAGCCCAGGGAACACATCTGGTGAGGGTCTCGATGGTGGCAACAGTGATGCAGGGTGTCACATTGTGAAATGGCGGAGCAGAGAGAGCAGAAAGAGCAAGGGAGACGCTCTCCTCTCTCTTTCAAATCCCCATACCTTCTCATTTTAAAAATGCTTTTATTCTCTCCCATTCCCTAAGGATAAAGTACTAACTTTGCAACAGGGCTTATTAAGCCCTTCATCATTTAATCCCTGCCTACCACTCTCTGGATCTTCACCATGCTGTCTCTCCAAATTTTAGACATAGGCCATACTAAATATTTAGTTACACAATCACCATGCTCTCTCTGCCTCCACGTCTTGGCACTTGCCACTAGTTCTTCCTGGCCCATCCTTCCCCACTTTCCAGACCTGGCTAACTACCCCTGCCACCAGTTACATGGGGACCACTGTGTCTTATTCACTATTGTACTCTCAGCCCACCACAGTGCCCTGCATGTATGTGGGTATGTTAATTTAGATGGTCAGCATGATATTCTTGGTTTAAGTGATGGTACTTATCCTGTTTTTCTGACAGGTCTTTGTGTTTGATGTTGGGCAAAAAACTTGGAAATCTTATGACTGGTCACAGATTACAACTGTGGCAGTTTTTGGAAAATATGACTCAGAACTTATGTGCTATGCTCATTCGAAAGGAGCCAGAGTAGTGCTTAAAGGTATGTTTTTACCAGATCTATGTGTTTAGCCAATGGGTAAATTTATCTGTATCACTTGCTATAGTCCTGACTTTCCAAAAAATTCCCTTGTATGTTTATCTGATTTTTTTTAAGGATCCTAAGATTAATCTTAGATAGTGTTTAATTCATTTCACAAATATAGGTATTTTTTTAAAAATTAAATAAACCACTGTATGGGTTTGAGCAAAATGTGACTGCTTAATTAGCATGATGACTTTTAGTTAGTCATAGTCCACAATTTCTACCTCTAATTTGAGAATGATTTTTACTAATTATTCATAATGGTTATTTTGGAGATTAGTGAGTAATGGTTTTCTCTTATTTTGGCATATTATCTCTCCATTTGGAAAACTTAAATTAGGAGCTTCACCTTCCAAAATAATGAAGTGTTTTAAACACATTTTGATCTCATGGGAACGGTCTGTGAAATAAATGTCATTAAACTGTGAAAAGCATGTATGTACAAAAGATGTATGCTTCTTCCACAGGAGATGTATCCTTAAAGGATATCATTGATCCTACTTTCAGAGCATTCTGGATAGATCAAAAACTTAACTTTGCCAAAACACAATATATGGATGGAATTAATATAGACATAGAGCAAGAAGTTAATTGTTCATCACCTGAATATGATGCATTAACTGCTTTAGTCAAAGAAACCACAGACTCTTTCCATCGTGAAATTGAAGGATCACAGGTAAAAATTTGTTTATTTCTTAGCAATCTCTTATTTTCTCAATCAAACTATGTTCACGAGGGTATGGCTAATGCAACCTTGGTTTTATAGTAATGAAATGGGAAAAAATTTCAGCACATATTTCCTAAAAAAATTTCCTGAAACTTTTGATGTTCTTATTTAAGGAATTTTAAGTTGCTAAATCTGTTCTCTATTCACATCAAAATACAACACTAGGATTGCCCCACCTATACTTGCCTTGCAGCAGGGTTACAAGTATTAGAAAGGCAATGGGGGCAGCAAGGATCAGGGAGGGCCTAACTGGCTTTCATCAGTGCTGGACAGAAACTGCTCTTGCCTTCGAATAGAGGTAGTTCTGGGGAAGTGTCTCAGTTGCTTCATAGTCTCTGAGTTACTTGCAAAGCACCCAAAGCCCAATAAGACTCAAAGGATTAACTCCACAGAACTTGTCAGAGCTATGACAAAGGGCAGTGTGCTTCCCCACTGCCATAACGAGCATGATTAGAGTAGAGGATCACAGCACAGGCAATGAGTGGTAACATCTGGCCCCAGACCAGTGATTCTCAAACCACATGTTAAGATAACCAGGGGTCTTAAAAAAAAAAAAGTAAATGTGCACGTGTGTGCACACACAAACACATAGACACAGACACACACACACTGGGGACTCACTCCCAGAAATTATTATTGAGAAGGTTTGGGGTGAACCCAGAGCACATAATTTTTTTAAAGTTTCATAGTTGATTATGGTTAGGAACTACCAGGCTAGACAGTGAGTTTTCTTTTTTTTTTTTGACCGGTAAGGGGATTGCAACCCTTGGCTTGGTGTTGTCTGCACCACGCTCAGCCTGCGAGCCAACTGGCCATCCCTATATAGGATCTGAACCCGCATCCCTGATGCTACCAGCGCCGCACTCTCCCGAGTGAGCCACGAGGCTGGCCCTAGACAGTGAGTTTTCTGAAGGCAGGGAGCAGCTCCTTGATGTCTAACATGTTTAAAAATTGTTGAGTAAATGTATGACCCCCAAAGCCTGTCTTAGAGTCACCTGGGAGTCCTTGTTTAAAATATCCCAAGGTTGATTCCGTAGGTCTGGGATGGAGCCTTGGGAAGTGTATTTTTACTAAGTGCTCTAGGTGATTTTGGTGCAGTTCATCGTCATGAATTTGAGAATCACTTGTAGAATAATAAATGATATGAGGACTGACATCGCTATGGTTTTATGCAAGTAGAGAAGGTTCATCAGTGTGGAATTCAGCTTTTCAGATGAGTACAATGTGGAGGAAGAATAGCAAATACGTGGCATGCTGGCCACTATACCCCTCTCCTCCTCACAAATTTTGGTCTCAGAAACTTCATTCTCTACATAATCATTACTAATAGGTTAGAATTGGTGTGTGGGAACAACCTATCTGCTAGTCCTGATTATGCTATAGAGAAAGGGCAAGGAAGAAGGGATTGAGCAAAGACCTTGCAGTAGGAATATCTACTTTCATGTTTGAGAGGTGAGTAGTGCAATTTGGCCAGCTATGTCTAGTTCACATTAGGTGATTTAGTAGGAGGTACAGTTGCATAGGTAGGCCAGCTTGTAGAATTTCCAGAATGTCAGACTGAGGAGTATGCATTTTTTCAATATGTAATAGATTCCGTGTAGTAGTATAGTAGTATAGAAAATTAGAGGAGAAAGGAAGACCAGTAAGGACTTAATCCAATAACTAGAGATTTATGGTTGAATTGAGATGATGGCATAACCCTCCCACTCAGTGAGTGTTCAATATTTGTTGAATGAATTGATTAACAGAAAGGGAGGGCAGAACAACTGTGAGAGGCCACCCAGATGAAAATGTGGGATTAGATTTGGGGTGTGATGGAAGAAGAAAGAATCAGAAAATGGTCCAAAGTTTCTTAAACTGGTGACCAGAAAAAAAATGACTAACATAGTCTGAAAGGGTAAGTGAATTCCGTGGAAAAGGCAATGATTTCAGCTTACAGAATCGTGCTCACAGAATTAAAGAGAGAGAAATGACCATGAAGAGTTCTTTCTCTTCATGGGCACCCTCTTTAAAGGTGGGAAAATAGATTCAAATGCTTTAAGTGACTTAGCAGTGACACAGACTTAGTTATAACACAGCCAAGACTAAAACCCAAGTCTTTTGATTTCTAATATACTAACAGTATCTTCTCAAAAATATGAGATTAACTGTGACAGGAGATCCAGGTGAAAATACTCTTAATGCCCAGGAGAGAGTTAAGGGCTTACAAAATGGACATGAAATGAACCTGCTTAGAGGTAGTCATTTTTTTTTCTATTACTATAACATGGCTCCCATTTGGTAAGTCAGTGATAAAATGGGGTCCAATATGTAAAAATTCTACTTCATAACCTATTTTGCTGTGAGTTCCTGAGGAAAGCATGTACTTGTAAAGCAGAGCTTCCTTTAGTGCTAATTGTTGGAGAACTATAGACAGAACTGGAGAAAATCCTAAAAAGTTTTTCTAGAATAAATGGGCCAAAGTATAAAAATTTTACCTAAGTATCTCAATTTTTTGTAATAATTAATTAATAAGTATTTATTGAGTGCCTAATTAAGGAAAAAATAATTCTTAATGAAGTTTTAGAACATCTGTACACATATAAAACAAAGCTATTTAATATTTAGTTAAGGCAATAAACAGATATTTTAAAGAGACTCATCCTTGTTGAAGGCTGGTTCACCATTCAAAATGAAAGATAATATATCACTCAAGTTTTATTTTGATATTTCCATAAAATAAGACCATTTAAATGCTTTGTTTCAACACTTTGAGTTGATTAGTCTGTACCTGTGAGCCATAAAACACCACTATTCTCTACTGTAGTACTAGGCCAAACCTGCCATGTAATATAATTGTGAATTAGGAGCTCAAATTCACAAGCCAGTCAGGTTGTGCCAAAAGGTACATATTTAGACTGCAAAATATTTTAAAAGCTTTTGTATTTGAATCCTTTTACTGTGCCTTTACTCTCCAGTTTTTCAGGGGCCCCACGACACCCTACTGTCATTGTATCTGCTTCTTTCAATCAGTTGAGTTACCAGCTTAGCCTCTGAAGACATTTGAGTTTAAAATCCTTCTTCTATATAGTGCTGTCCTCCTGGTTATTGTATGTACAAATATGTCTTGGTCAGGTCCAATGTAGGCAAAAAATATATTTCTTAGAACTGTTCTATGTCTATATGTGTTGAGTCCTATATTCGTATACTGTAAGCAGTTCTTTTTTCTTGGGTAGTATGAGGCAAGAGAATATGTAACCCCCAAAAAACTCACATAATATGCGTATTTGATCATGTTACATAAAACAATATATTTTTCCACAGGTAACCTTTGATGTAGCTTGGTCTCCAAAGAACATAGACAGAAGGTGCTATAATTATACTGGAATTGCAGATGCTTGTGACTTTCTCTTTGTGATGTCTTATGATGAACAAAGTCAGGTCTGGTCAGAATGTATTGCAGCAGCCAATGCTCCCTATAATCAGACATTAGCTGGTAAGAATCCACAAAGTGATCATTTATTAGCAATATTAATTCCAAAACCACAAACATTAAGATGTCTTTTAGTATTTCTAAGTTATTTGTATACAATTTCCATTTGAAAAACTTGCTTGAAACATAAAAATCATCGAATTTGGAGATCTTTAAAGATTACAGAGTTTTAAAGCTTTGAAGTTTTCACTTAACAACCTTGTGGGATAGGTATATTATTATTAACCCTCTATTACAGAGGAGATGAAAGAAGTTAAGTTCTCACAGTTGCACAACTATTAAGTATTATATGGTTGGAACTCTGACAGGTATTGTAACTTCAGATCCAACACTCTTGTCATGAAATCACATGAAGATGATACTGGCTTATCTAGAATATGACAGGATATTTTTTTGAAATAAGCAATGTTAAATAATTTAATAGCAAAGATAGTTATGGTGTGGGTACCTACCACACATGATTAATAAGACTGGCTTTCTCTTACTTAATATTAGAACCCATGATATATTAAAAATTGTATTCCTATTAGAATTAAGAGTACTTCTGGGGCTGGTCGATTAGTTCAGTTGTTTAGAATGCAGTGGTATAACATCAAGGTCAAGGATTTGGATCCCTGGACCAGCCAGCTGTCAAAACCAACAACAGCAGCAGCAACAGAACTAAAAATTGGTGGAATAATATACCTAGCTGGCCAGTTACCTCATTTGGTTACAGCATCGTGCTGATAACACCAAGGTCCAGGGTCCAATCCTTATATTAGCCAGCCACCAAAAAAAAAAAAAAGAAGGAAAAAGAAAAGAAATGAAGAAATAGAGGCTGGCTTGTTAGCTCAGTTGGTTAGAGCATGGTGTGGGCCACAGCTTCGGATCCCCGTACTGGCCAGTTGCCAAAAAAAAACCCCTAAGAAAACAGTACTTCTGACCTGCCATAGGTATCATGTGGTCTCTGAATTATCCTTTCCAAAGTTTGGATTGGTTTATATCCCACCAGTCAATTGAATAAAAGATTGTTTGCTATCTTTTGGACTGGACTAAAATTTTCTGGGATAATTTGTACTGATTTAGGTGTTGATGGATTTATAAATAACTATTTTTTTCTTTTTCATACAGAGGTAAAATCTTAGAACCTGGCTTCATTCTATCATATCCTAATTGTTTGGATAGAATAGTCTGATCATAAATATATACTATTTAAATTTGAAAAATAATTTCATTCTGTTTTATAATTCTTAATTTATAATAAATTATAATTTATTTCATTCAAGGTTCCTAAACTGTGTGTCATGGAAGAGATGATAATTGTGTTCTATCAATAAAAGGTTCACTATCAAATATGTTTGGGAAATGATGCCTACCTCACCCCTCTTTTGGATATTTAATAGTACACAGTAACATTAAAGACTCCAAAAAGCAATACATTTATTTAACTCAACATTCTAGATAATCTGGGAGTATCTCTTGGGGGAAAAAGATGTTCTGCAGCATTGGGCAAGAAAAGGACTGATAGTATCATAAATTTGTTCATTTTTCTCTTTGTTTCCTACAACTGCAGATTATCTACTACAGAATAAAAGGGGGGAAAAGAGGGAGGGGAACATTTCTTATCTCAGCTGTCATTCATATTTCCAGGATATTTGTAAAACATGGAACACTTGTGCTTTCTATAAGAAATTTTGAGACCATCATTGCCAGAAAGTTTAAGATTTCCAAAACTTTTTTGAAACTTTATAATCTAGAATATCAAATATATCTTGTCTTAGCAGTTAATAGACACAATCAGTATGCTTTCCTGAAATGTGTTATTCTTCCTAGAATTAGATTCTGTAAATTTTTTGTTCCAATATTATTTTAATTGTTTTGAATGTTTTCTCTTATTCAAAAAGAAGTGGTTTAGAAGGTAAGATATGGAGTTCATTGTTCTTAAGGGATGACTTTTATATTATAGAAACACTTATTTTTAATAATTTTTAATTTAATATTATTATTTTGGATAATTGTACCTGTTTTTTACACACTTAGATTTTGAGTGGTTGCATAGCTCATATGATGAACACATTAACAGACATATGAAGAGAAAAAAATATGCTTTTTCTGTTCCTACTTGACTAGGATATAATGACTACATCAAGATGGGCATTAACCCTAAGAAACTTGTAATGGGTGTTCCCTGGTATGGTTATGATTATACCTGCCTGAATTTATCAGAGGTAAGAATAGGTCATTTGTTACATAATTTTTTTCTCTCTATTACATTTTTAGAGACTCTGCTGTCTCATTAGGAATAAAAAAACTTTATTTAGAATTTCTCATATATAGTTTGAGACTAAAAAAATTGTTTATTTTTTATTAATCCTACAAAAGCTTCTGAATTGCACATTATTATTTAATAATGAAATTTATTTTAACTTTTATTCTGTATAGTCAGGTTATCTATAGCATATATTTTATTTCTAACAAATAGTTTTTGATTATTTTTTATGATTTGGCTCTTAAGATGTGCTTAATTGTTAATCTGTAACTTGAACATTTTTGCATTTCTAGGATCATGTTTGTACCATTCCAAAAGTCCCTTTCCGGGGAGCTCCTTGTAGTGATGCTGCAGGACGTCAGGTTCCCTATAAAATGATCATGAAGCAAATAAATAGTTCTATTTCTGGAAGCCAATGGGATAAAGATCAGCAGGCTCCTTATTATAACTATAAAGTAAGACTTTTCACAAGTTATGAACACTTATTCTATTCTCATAATTATATATTTTCATAATTAAATATTTAATATTAAGAATTTCTATCAGTTTACATACTGTTTCTATCAGAACATACTGTTTACATGAGTAAACTTGTCTTTGAATCTGTGTAATCAGAAACTTTAGCTCCCTGGTGAGCAATTCAAGTTATGCTAATAGAGCAACTACGCGGCTTCCCTGGTGAGCAATTCAAGTTATGCTAATAGAGCAACTACTCTGCTTGGGCCACTTGTTATTTTAGATGATGCTATAAAAATGTGCATATCACAAATAGGATTTCCTAAATAGTTGACAATTACGATAACTATTGCTTTTGAAAGGACTTTGGGCCAAAATAAGTTACCAGCTCTGAAAGCCTCCATTTCAAAGTAGCCTAATGATTCTATGAGACTCTTATAATAGGGAGGAAAGAGGCTGAGAATAGGAGCTATGTCATCATCATTGACTTTACAGTGGGAATACTGTATCATGTCACATTTATTTCATAATTAAAAGAAATATAAGTAATGTTAAAAATTAGAGACAGAACAACATTACAAAAGGAAGCCTGAAAAAAATATAGTAAATGATTAGCAATTCTGTCATGTAGTGTTTAATAAATAAGAATTGCTATACCAAAGAGGCAAAGAAAAGTTATATTTTTCATAATTTACCTTTAGCATAACAAAAACTTTTTCACACTTAAACAATCTAAGTACAAATAATCTTTGAGTTTACTGTGGATTATGTTACTTTAAAAGGAGTCCTAAAATAATAGAATGCAAGTTAATTCCAGTAAGGTTTGTATTCTTGACTAATGGTCTGATATCCATCTATAAAAAATGATTCGAAACACACTATATGTAATAAATTATCATGACATACATGTATATGCCTGTATATCAATTATATACAAAGTATAAAGCTTTTTAAACTTTAAAATTGAAAGTACTGTATATACCTATTAGTTAACAAGGTATCTTGTAAACCTGTCTTTGCCAAACAGTATAGAACTCTGATCTGGGAACTATTAATATTACACACACACACGCACAAATGCCCAAATATACACACATGTGCCATGGCCAGATATATTTGGAAAAAAAATCTATATACTGTAGTTCCTCTTGGAGATTTATAATGTACGACATTATCTTAAAGGATTTGAGAAGGTTGTTTAATTGTTTGATGGAGAACCCTGTTTCACATCACTCTCAGAAACATGCAAGGGAACAGTGTTTCATGGATATAGTTTGGTAATGGCTATGGTAATCAATTACATATAATTTAAAGATATATAATATAGAATGATAGTTTACACAACAGTAAACTGTCTTTTGTAATCCCTGACTTATTTTTTCTTAATGAGTCAAAAGACACAGGAAAATATTATTCCTTAAAAAATTAAAGAAAAAGTTTTAAATTGACAAGTAATAATTATATATATTTATGGTGTACAACATAATGATTTTATATATGTATACATTGTGGAATGGCTAAATCAAGTTATTTAACATATACATTACCTCACATATAATTTTTTTATGGTGAGAACACTTAAAATCTACTCTCTTAGCAATTTTTAAGTATAAAATACATTGCTATTAACTATAGTCACCAAGTGTACAATAGATCTCTTGAACTTATTCCTCTTGTGCAACTGAAATTTTGTATCCTTTGACCAACATCTCCTATTCCTCCCACCCTCAGCCTCTGTTTCTACTGTTTCTATAAGGAACATATTCTTTATGTTCTTATAATTCAGGAAACATTTTGGTAAGCCTTGAAGGCCATTTAATGGCGCTTAGGTAGAAAACAGTCTAGTTTTAACTGTTTTTCTCCTCTCTTTTATTCATTGTAAAATTGTGAGCAACCAAAATCAAGCTTCTATTGTGTTTAAAGAGAATCATTCTGCCTTCTTATGCTGTTTCAGCAATAGCAACTTCTTTTTGGACTCGATATTCTGGAAGGCATATATGCCTTAACCAGTTTTTCACCCTTTGACCCTTCACTATTTTGAGACTATTTAAAATTCCTTAACAGTATCAAAAAGACTCAAAGTACTGACTGAAATGATGTCAAAATTCAAAGGTGTCTTTGAGTTTGCTACTGAATCTTCAAAAATCTTTTATATTAAATATACCTTTTAACAGCGAATCATAACAGTTACTAAAGCGTGCATGGCTTTGTTTAGCACTAAAAATGTTGAAGAATGGAATATAAGATATAGGATGAGATGCTTGCACGTAAGGAGTCTACTATACTTAAATATGTCACAGCTTATTCATTTACCAAATGACTGTTATCCTTCAAAGTAGTCATCTTAGGAGACTATTACTAATTCCAGTATTGTTACCATAAATAAAAATATTGCTGGCATTCTTTCAGAATTGCCTTTGAGAAGTTTCCAAGATGTATATAAAAATCAGTAAATTATTTTTAGTTACAGGTCTTTCAATTCTTACCTCCTATCTTTTCCCCCTTCCTTTACCCTTTTGCCTATATCTGCTTCTTTTTCCAGTATCCTTGTCCAATAGCTCTTGTGCCTCCTTGAGAGAGACTATGTTAGTATGTGATATAGGCAGGTGATGCTGTACAGAGAAGGACTGTACAGGGTGGAAGGTTAGCATAAGACCAGAATCTAGTTTTTGGTTCCCAATCAGGTGTGTATTAAGTGGATCCATAGAGTCCAGACCTAAGATCAATTCTGTAAGACCTAGAAAAGGAGGTACTTTCTTCCTCTACTGCCAATACCTTTTGATGTGGCTGATTCATCATAAACAAAATCATCAGTTGAGCTCCTAGCTAGGCACACTTCCAGGAACTGTAAAGAATACAAAAAAGCATATAAGCTGGTTTAAGAGGACCAGAGCAGTGATTCTTATTAACTTTGGCTGCATATCAGGATTACCTAATGGAATGCTAAAACACAAAACAAACAAAGAAGCATATGTTCTAGCATCAACCCTAGAGGATTTTGATACAGTAGGCTTTATGTGGTATAGGTCCCAGGAATCTGTATTTTTTTTTTTTTTTTTTTTTTTTTTAGGAATCTATATTTTTAAAAGCCCCACAGTGATTCAGATGTACATCTTGGTTGATAATCTCTGGATCAGAGCAAGGAAAGAATCTTAGGACGCAAGAAGGACTTAAATAGAATATATTAGGAGGCTCATTTGTGTAATCTTTGCTGTTGTTAGAAGTGCCATATGCAGTAATATCTAGAAAGTATCACATACAGAACCATGGAGTAATGGAGTTGGAAAGTTATTACACCCTAAAATTTCATTATTTCATTGTATCCTTTTTGAATCATTAGATTTAAGAAACTTTTTTCCCTCTTACTGAACTGAGTACTTACAATTTCCATTTTATTTGTATAGGATCCTGCTGGCCATTTTCATCAAGTGTGGTATGATAACCCTCAGAGCATTTCTTTAAAGGCAGCATACATACAAAACTCTGGCTTACGGGGCATTGGCATGTGGAATGCAAACTCTCTTGACTACTCTGGAGATGCTGTAGCCAAATGGCAAACTGAAGAAATGTGGAAAGTCTTAAAGCTAAAGCTATGATAGAGATGAATATCTTTTGCCAAACTATTAAGATTTAGAAAATGATCTGTAAAACTAGATCTGACTTCTTGAAGAGATTTAAAAATGTATACATTTTTGACATGTTGCTATATACTTTAGTTATTAATATACTCAAAAACAGATAAAGAATTAAAGAAATGCTTTGATTGTTTGAATTTTAAAAATACATATTTATATCACCAGTATCCAGGAACATAAAGGCAAAAACAAGTCAATTTACTGTATTAAATATTTCTCTATATTTCAATCCTATTATTTAATTAGGAAAAATTGCTTTCAGAGTTTTATTAGGCCAAATTTTCCCCCATTATATTAAAATATATGCTTACAAATCAATGCTGGTTTTAAAAATATGTATAAGTTGAAGTGGAAATTGCTTGCTTAGAATGTATTTTTTAAAAACTTAGCCTTTGAGAAACAGTTTGTGCTGCACCGTTTTTTTCTCAATAAATCTTAAATTTAAAAGCTGAAATTGAGTGTCTCCTCTTTAAGTTCATCAAACTGATGAAAGTAATTCTTCTGCTTCCTGACTCCATATAGTACTCATACCTCTGAAGTACTTGAACCAACTCACTTAAACCTACAGACAGTGAGGAAGAAAAAAAAGAATACAAAGAGAGCACAGTGTTGTAACACCAAAGTCAAGGGTTTGGATCCCCGTACTGGCCAGCCGCCAAGAAAATAAAGAATACAAAGGATAAATGTACTCATAAAATACAAGAAGATAACTTACTAATATTTTCAATTAGTAAGTTAGAGCCACCTAATATTTTCTTTCTTTTTTTTTTGTCTTTTTTCGTGACTGGTAACGAGATTGCAACCCTCGGTGTCGCGCCCATACCGCGACCGGCAACTGGATCACAACCCTCGGTGTCGCAACCCTTGGTGTCACGCCCGCACCGCGCTCAACCAGTGGGCAGACCGGTCTCTATATGGGATCCGAACCCTCAGCGGGACGCTCTCAAGCGCTGCACTCTACCGAGTGCGCCACCGGGCCGGCCCAACACCTAATATTTTCAAACTAAATTAATTTATGAGGTTTATCTACAAATTTTTTACAATAGCAATAACTTGGTGTTTAACTTGATTCTATTCAGTCATTTACACTTCCAATTTTTCATATTTCTTCATTTGTGGACATCTACAATTTATTTCTTGGCTAGTTTTCTTTTCATGGTTAAATTTCTTTTTTTCTAAATCTGCATTTTATTTTTAATCATTTAAAGACATTGATTAGTTTCTTAACTAATTCCTCCTCATAAAATATCAATTTTAGGGCTGAGCCCGTGGCGCACTCGGGAGAGTGCGGCGCTCCTGCTGCGGGTTCGGATCCTATATAGGGATGACCGGTGCGCTCACAGCGCTCACTGGCTGAGTGCACTGCAGCCAGTCTCAAAAAGGACAAAAAAAAAAAAATCAATTTTATGCAAAGAACTTTTCTTCTTCTTTTTTTTTTTTTAAAGATGACTGATAAGAGGATCTTAACCCTTGACTTGGTGTTGTCAACATCACGCTCTCCCAAGTGAGCCACAGGCTGGCTACAAAGAACTTTTTTTTTTTTGTCCTTTTTGAGACCGGCCACACCGCGCTCACTGCTGTGAGCACACCGGTCATCCCTGTATAGGATCCGAACCCACAGCGCTCCTAGTGCCGCACTCTCCCGAATGCGCCATGGGCTCGGCCCGAAAGAACTTTTCTAAATGTAATGAAGTTTCTGTTCTCTTTCTCAAGGCAATTAAGAACAACACTGTGCTTTTATTAGTTCCTATAAATACACAGACTAAAAATCTGCATCCTTGAACTCTGGATTTACATAAATCCTGCCTTCTCTCCACATTTTAGAATAAATTGAATAAACTGACCATTCAATCATCTCACTAGGACAATATTATATGTCCTATTTATACAACTGTTTATGACAGAGTAAAATCAAACATTTCCACAGTATATATTGAATCACTATTGTCTTTATATTTCTAAAATAAATTAATAAAACAATTTAAAATCTTAGGCACTACCTCTGTCATAGCTCTGGATGCAATTCAATATCACTGTTCTTTTATATTTCCAGATTGCTTTTAAGTAACATACAATGAACAAGTCTCTATTTTTATGCAAAGATAATAGTGTTTATTAAAATATGATATATTTTTTCTTTGTAATTAGATTTTATAGTCATTAGCTCTTAAATTTAAGATTATTAAAAGTTAAAAGTAATTAAAAAATATAGTATTGTAAAATAATAGGTAATAGACTTGAAATCTTCAAAAATAATTAAACAGCCACCATTTTGCTTTATGTTACATCTTATGATTTAAGGAAAACAATGGTTGAACCTATTCAAATAAATATTTAAATATTTTGACAAATAAAAATTTTAAATTAACATACCTAATTGAGGTTGTAAAGATGTATGAATTTTCTTCTGTGCCAGTTCAGCTTTCAATGTTTGTAAATCTGAAACTGCTTGTTTTCTCATCTATAAAAATAATTACCTTTCAAAAATCAACTTCATCCCACCCTTCTAAAAGTACATCATAATTGTCATGTAAGTAGGGTTTTGTAACTGTTTTAACCATCATCTTTCATTTTCCTTCAGTGCCTTCATTCTCACTGCATTACTACAGTAAATGTGTGTAGGTCATAAATCCTGTTTAATTAGCATGCTTATCTACTGCTGGATATGCTATGAGATAATTTCTTTTATTAGTTATAAGGACAATACAATTGAACTGTTCTAAAAACTGAGAAAGAATTTTATTTTTGCTTAAACTTCAAAATCTGTTGTTCTCAATGTGTAAAGAAAATAATAAAAACAAAAATACAAAAAAAAAAAAGAGAGAACCCATCTTAATTCCTAGCCTTTAGGAACTGAATAGATATTTAAGAAATATAATATTGTTTGCTCTGTGGAAAGCACTCTTCTAAGTATATGAACGCCTTTGATTTTTAAAAAAATTTTATTGAGGCACATACTATAATTTATACCCATTTTACAGTTGAGGAAACTGCAGCCCATAGATGCAAAGTAAATTGCTGAAGTTATAAAACTAGTTAAGTGGCACAGCCAGGATTCAAACTCAAACCACCTGGTACCTTTGCTATTCCAAGTATTGTCTATGGACCTGCTGGTATTAGCATCACCTGTGAGCTTGTTAGGACTGAAGAATCTTAGGCTTCACCCAGATCTATTGAGTCAGATCCTGCATTTTTTAATAGGATCCTCATGATAGCACATTAAACTTTGAGAAAGCACTATTTATGCTATACCTTGAATAAATATGTTTGCAACAGACTCAGGCTAGGTTTTCGGCCCCACAGCTGTTTTGGGTAGATCATTCAGAAATCATTAAATACTTGTTATAATGTCTGTTATTTGTCCACCAGGCACTGTTTAAACACAGGATTTCTCCCCCCAACCCCTGTCCCCAGTCTGTAAGCTGAAAACACTGTTTTATTTTTTCTCCTTATTTGTCTTTACTGTTTTTGTACTAACAATTCTAATTTGGGTTCAAACCATAAGTGACATTTATAAGGTTAAAATATACAAAGATGGTAGGATCTAATTTGCATGTTTTCCAGAAGAAAAGAGCATGAGGGAATCATAAATGAAGGCTCTAGGGATTTTTATTACTCCTTCCTACCCACTCAACTATTCTTAAGTGTACAAGTTTCCATATTGGCTTTCTCTCCATATATTCAATTTTCCTTCATTGAACAAATTATTTTTTGAGTGTATACTACATAAGAATGTTAAAAATTGTCCTTTGCCCTTTTCATTTTCTATATTTTAAGTTTTAAGCTTCTCAGAGCTGAGCCAGGGCTTAGTTTCGAAAATGCTGCTAGTAAAAATATAGAACTGCACTGTCCAATATAGTAGCCAGTTGCCATATAAATCTATCAAATTAACTAAAATAAGTTTTAAATTCAGTTCTTCAGTCATACAAACTACAATTTCAAGTGTAAAAATGCTGCTAGTAAAAATATAGAACTGCACTGTCCAATATAGTAGCCAGTTGCCATATAAATCTATTAAATTAACTAAAATAAGTTTTAAATTCAGTTCTTCAGTCATACAAACTACAATTTCAAGTGTTCGATATCTGTGGGTGGCTAGTGGTTACCACATCAAACAGTGCAGGTACAGAACATTTTTATAATCACAGAAAGTTCTGTTGGACAGTGCTAATTTTAGAAAGGGGTCATTATTCTATGTTGTAAAGCTATTTCTGGTAAAAAGATGAATTAAGAGCATTCATATAATTATCTTTATTTTCCTGTCCTGTGTACATACTTGTGTGCAAATGTATAATCATCTTCTGTTTTCTGTTCAACAAAAGAGCTTTTTAAGACATCTGTACCTCAGAGATTACTCCTATGATGTGATAATTACATATAATTTTTGTCAAATAAGTGAAGTATGGTCAGAACCCTCTACTAAGCATCTACTATACAAAAGGTTCTATGGGAAAAACAAAGTTAACTAAGGCACAGTCTCCGCCCTGGGGGAAACTTAACATCTAGTAGACCCACTATTCATATTTAAAAAAACAGAATATATATGAAAATAACCAGACAGAATGAGACAATTACCCAAGGGAGGGGAAAAAATTAAATGGGAATTCAGAGGAGAGCTTAGTGACTTGTTAGACTTATTTTGAATGACTCTAATACAGGAAACCTTCTTTTGAAATATTTTTTTCAGACTACATTGACTCATAGGCTCCTTTTCCTTTAATTCTTCTTAGTGAAATTTTCCTAAATTTTACTTTGGCCTTGATATAACATGCATCTTTTCACAAGTTTTAGTTTTTCTTCTTGCATTTTTTTCACTCATGCTCTTTGTTGTTAAGTAACAATTTTACTGACTACCTTTATATTATGACACCCAAAGTTAAAACATCAAAATACTTTATTTCAAGATAAACCTTATAATCGGAGTAGGAGAAATGTAAATTACCTTAACTTCTATTATAAGTTTCATTTTGTCAGTATCCAGCTTTCTCTTAAGTTGGTCAATTGCATGCTGTACCTCAGTGATCTGGATTATAAGGTAATTCTGTGTGAGATATATAAAGACATACTTATTTAGTATAACATTTATACATTTTTAATTTTAACTGCCTTGCAAATATAAACTATGAAGTGATAAATAATGAAAGCAAATCATGAAAATAACATATTCCATATTACTGCTTTGGAGTAAATTATTATTACTATTAATTTCTGTTCATTTCTTACATTTTAGGGACACACTTTCTCTTCTTTTCTACCACCATTAGTCATTTATTATTTTTTAAAAAGTAGATATTTGTAAAGATTACCATTAAGTTAGCACCATAAAGACTAGCAACTATTGCAATGAAAGGAATAAGCTAGGTTTAAGATACTAGCAAGACTTCAGAAATTGGCCTGCTTTATTAGCTGAATCAGATTAGAAGTACTTAAAAATATTTAATAATCAGGGGCCGG